GCCAAAGTTAGCCCTCCTGAGGTCCAAGGTTTTGATCCTACTTATCGCCCTGCTTCCTCCATGCAGGATCCTGAACTTCACCATTTTATGGTCGCTGCAGCCAAGTCTACCTCCGACCTTCACATCCTCAACCAGTCTCTCCTTGTTTGTTAGTACAAGGTCCGGCAGAGCGCCTCCATGAGCTGCTGTCGTCTTTTGGCAGTGAGGATGAGGTGAACTCGTAGGCTGTTTTTTCCCTGTTCCCTGTGCTTTAGCCTGTGACTAGCGCTTGCTTCCCTTGCACCCTGTCGGTGTGGCGGGGAAGGTGGGTAAGAGGCTGTTAAGAGGGACTTCTGCTCCCTTCCCCAATACACTGAGCAGTAGTGTTGCTGCAGCGACCAGTAACACAACTACTGCTGACTCCAGTTCTTCTGCATCCCCACAACATGTGCCATAAAGGAGGGCAAGGCCGCCGCTGTCCGTTACGGGTAGCTTATACCTCCTTCACTATAAGGTGGTTGAGATGATTCATCTGCTAAATGCTGCCTGCAAGCGCCGCCTTGTTTTTCTAACTGCAAAGTAGTGATATTGTGGGTTTGGTAACAGCCAAAGAGTATTTAGTAGACTACCTCAGCAGAGGGTTAAGTGTAATAGGCCAAGCTGGAGAGGGAAAAGCCCTGCAGCGTCACCGGGTTCTGGTCACTGGAGGGTGCGGGTGGGAGGAGTGGTTAAGCCCATACTTGCTGAAATGCCCCTTCTGCCTTGCTTGCTGCTCCCAGATGGGTCTTGCCATGGGAGCTGCCAGTGCGACTTACAGAAGGAGCTCAGGGAAAGCGCCAGAAAGGTGGCTGGTGATCTGTGGTCTTTTTTAGAAGATTCTATCCCAGGTCAGCTGTTTTGCTGCTGGATACAGCTGTCACCACCTGAGCAGAAACCACTTGCTGCAAATGCAAGTTTCAGTAGGAGAAACACATTCACTTGCTTTGCAAGACGTCTGATTTAACTTCCATTTTGCAGGGCATCACTAAAACTTATTTCCTGGATAGTTTTTTTGGTGTTTTTTTTGAGCTCCATGTTTCATCACCCCCTTTAAAACAAGCTTTCCTGTTTGATCAGCTCTTCACAGCTCCAAATTTCCCTCTGACTGAAAGGGCCAATCACCATAAATCTGGCAGAGCTTTAGGAATTCTCTTCAACCCATTTGGCTGTGTGCAACTCAATAAATGGAGGGTATTATTCCCCTTCATGCTAAGCTGTGAAAATGCATCAAAAAGCATTTGCTTCTTGTCTCGGCTCCAGTGCTGTTTTCTCCTGGCCAGAAAGAGACTTGTCTTTGTGAGAAGGTAGCCTTAATCCCACTTGTGCGATAACCTCGGTTTCCTGAGGATCCTCCAGCTTTCCTTACCTGCAGGCACAGCTTCTCTGTTGTAGAAGTAGTAGGTGCACAGAGAGATGAGGAGCCTCGCTGCAGCCATGGTCAGTTCTGTGCCCAGACACAGGAGTCAATTAAGTTCTGTCATGCCACGTGCTAAATAGAGGAGGGTCATAATCTGATTTTTGTGATACGCCACCTGCTCGAGTGAGGAGCCAAGCACTGCCGCCTCCCACCAGCAGCAGTTTGTGTCAGATGACGAACTCTGGGGCACAGATTGACTTGTTGTACATACTCAGCCTTTAGAACTACAGAGTCCGGTTTGATTTTCTTCTCCTTGGCCCTTGGCAGTGTGAAGACATGGGATCACACCGGAGATCTGGATGTAGCATCTGTCTAAATTTTTCTAGACACTTCTTTTTTTGCAAGAGTCTTCTGATAAAGGAGTAGCAGAATGTCCCAGAAATCCGATCTTATTAGCAAAAAGGCACCATGTCTAATTTGCATATGCTGAAGCTGCATGTGTCGTCTGCGTCTTGGCAAGGACAAGCAGCACTTAGGTCATTCACTCAAAACCGCTTGCCTGTAGTGTGTAAAAGTCACAGCTCTCTATCGTGAGGGCCTCTAACACAAAATGCTTTTTCCTCCCCCCTTCCCCCCCTTATTTTTAGCCTTAGTGATTGTTACCTATTTGCCTAATTGTCCCGTCAGGGTGAGCGGGTATGAATTTCTTCGTCTATCTGATGTCGGTCCAGTCTGTGTGCCCCCTGCACGGTTTCCTGTATCTGTCAGGACTTGGGTGCCCAGGTGGCAGAGCACTCAGCTGTGCAGCCCCTGTTGGGGACTGCTGCAGTTAGAAAAGCTCACAGAACTGATACGATAGGAGGAAAAGGATTACTGGGCTCCTTTGGGGTGTTATTCCAAATACACCATGCACTTAGTTTTTTTTAAGGCTTCAACTAAATTGAAGCTGTTTAACAGCTTGTATACCAGAATTTCCTGTCCCCACAGAAAGAAAGCATCAGCCAGGAGGAATCTGGCATCTTGAAAGATATTTTTACAGTATCTATCAGTGATGAAAATGTCCAGACCAGTAGGACTGGAGAGGCAAAGTCCTCTATCGTAAATTTACTCTCTCACCACAATTATCTTTTCTGTAATCTAAACCCATAATTGCTAAGGCCAAGTTAATTCAGATCTCAAAAACCCTGCACTGAGACACCATAGAGAATGACTGGGTGTAGCGATAAGAAGCTCTGACTTCAGGCATTTGGCTGAGACCCTCCTCGTTCCTTTCCCATGGACTCTAGACAGCCTCCTAGGCTTGTTGCTTCAAGTTGCTGTTTACCTGGGGTTGCCCTAGGACAGGTTGTGTGAGAGGAAGACTCCATCTGTCCTGTGCAAGCCCCAGGTTTTGAATGAATAGACTGAGGAAACCAGTGAGTTGGAACTGGCTTGAAATACTTTTTTCTTTTTTTTTGGTCTGTGTTGTCCCCCCCGTCCCCCCCCAGCTGCAAAGACTGGCAAAGTGTGACAACCAGTACATTCATGGGGGAAGCAGCACACTCGAAGGTAGATCTAGTTGCCTTCACTCCAAGGTTCCTGAACCTCCCAAATTCAGTGTGCTGAGAGTCTTCGGTCCTTTTCCAGAAGTCGTGAAGAAGCAGATTTGTCAGTCGGAGCAGTCTGACTGTAAGATGTGGGAGGCTGTGCTTACAGCGTACCCACCAGGCACAAGTCCTCCGGGCCATCTGCAGTCTGTGCTGCCCTTACTGGAGCACAGTGTGTGAAATATCTTCCTCAGGCTGCAGGGCTCAATTACAAAGTTTGCTCTGAGAATTTGCCAAGAAACAAAGACAAGATCTGCGAAATAGGAAGTAGCTTTTATTTCCTTTGGGTAACTCCCAACTCCACTTTCAGAGGAGCAGCAGAAAAATCCATTGTAAGAAACTCTCAGCTGCTCTATCCAAACCTGAGGAGCTTGTCCTAGTAGGAACAGCTGTAAGAAAAAGGGAGGAGCATAAACTGTTGATTGAGCTAATTTCATGGTTAAAACCTGTCCTTGTGCTGTAGTGGGATGTGTCCTTTTGCCACGCATAGGTGGACAGAGCTATGACTTCAAGCCCTGATCTAAAATACTGGTGGACTGGTCTAACAACAGTGAGCCAGAACAGGTAGGAGAGGATTGAATCATGTGGAGGACAAGGATGGCTTAAAGCAGACAAGGTAGGTAGTTAGAAAGGATCTGCATTTCCTTCCTGAGAATGCTGCTCAGGCTCTGAAACACTCTTTTTCTGTTAGTTTCAGCCAGTAACACAAAGATTACCATCTTTTTGTTTAGTCTTTCAGGAACAATATTTCTCCCTCTTTTAAAACCCTGCTCCCTTGCAGATTCTGCGTAGGTTGAGAGAACGAAGCTGAACACTAGGTCAGTTCTTTTACTGAGCTTGTTGTTTTCCCACAGCATGGCTAATTCACATTATATAGTGCTCAACCCTGGAGGTTTCTGTAATTCCCTTCAGGCTGGTAGCTACATCAGTAAGCTGAGAAAAACTTCTCAGGATAGGTCTTTGCTATTGCTAGCTGCCTGCAATGACATAGTTCTCTTCTGCTAGCTGTTGTTTCTCTGCATTGCATCTTCCCACACAATAGTCCCTGAGGAGTGACGGGGGGAGGTGTCAGTCAGCGTTAGAGTGGTGCAGATCTGGCTTTTAGTGTAGGAACTTTGGGCTTTCTCTGGCATTTCTCTGTTCAGCAAACTTATTTCTCAATGGTGTCTTGGGGAACATGTTAAGAGGTGACGTGCTCTGATCCTGCTCTAAAAGAAGTTCATTTCAGTAGTGCTGGATCGGCTTAGCAGGAAAAAGAAAACCCTTTGTCTCAGCTTCTTATATTTGTTGTGTATATGCTCATTAACATATAGTAATAAGCCATGTACAGGAAACTTACTGTAATGTTCATTTACTGCAAGTCACTGTGCTAGTGACTTAAAAGTATATAGGGTAGTCAGTGGAGGGTCAGGTAACGTTTCAGTGTCAGTGATACTGAAGAGACACCCTGACTTCTCTCCCACAGGCCCAGCTGCTGAACTGGACAAGAGGCAGGGGTAGATGTGGGAGGTTTAGTTACCTGTGACATCGCTAATGCCAAGTCCTCGCTGGAAATGTTTTAAAATTCTTGGCAATGCTCCCACACCTTCTCAAAATGCTGGCTCTGCTGGCACTAAACCCGCAGCCTCTGTTTTTAACACACCTGTGTTGTGCAAGTTTCAAGGTGGTGCAGAAGATGACACAGATAGTGAGAAACCCAGTCCCACTTCCTCTGCTAAGGAGTGGTAAAGGTCTCTTCTTACATGGAAAAACCTATGCGAATAAACACTCTGGGCAAGCTCCCTGGCTGTGTGTGGAGACTCGGCTGTGCCTTAGCAATGATTTCCGCAAAAGCTTTGGTTTGCAGGACAGCTGTACTATGCTAAAGATGGAGTGACATCTCTGAGGTTTCTTCACTACCAAACAGCAGATGCCTCACTCGCTGGAAAGTGGGATCCATTAAATGAGAGTAGAACGCAGGTAGGAGTCCTGGACTTATCTGGCTTGGCTTCAAAGTGAAGCCATCTCTCCTCTGACCCGTAACAGTGAAATCTTGAAACGCGTTAATTCCCTCTACCTTCTGCAGAAATTGGGTGCCTAATTGTCTCTTAGATTCTGGGCTTTACTTGCTCCTGCCTGGCATGGACTTGAATCAACACTAAAGCAAAAAGGAACTTTGCATCACATGGTCACTTGTCCTTGCTTTGCCACTTGACCTTTTAGCAGATGACACTGGCACCCTTGCTTCCAACTGCGTGTTACAGTTCTTGTCAGAATATTAATA